ATAAAATATTATTTAATATCAATTTAATTATAATAAATTAATATTTTTATAAGTTACCGTGTGAAAAAGGATAATAGAAAAGCATCTAAACAGAACAGAAGTCTTTTGTGCTTGCTTTCCTAGATAATTTGAATGTTGAAGTTGGTAGTAGTTGTTTGAACAAACAACTAAGTTGGTATTAATTTCCCCGAAGGTGCTCATGTTATGACGATGGAAACTTATGGGTTCTAGAATCATGGCTTATGCTTAGACTTTTCCTGGAAGAATCTTGTTTATCGAATTGATTTATTTTTTCTGCGCTAAAAAGTAGTGGTTGTGTGTGAATTTCATATATTTATAAAATAAAATTTGAAAAAAGTCGTGTAAATTAGGTGAAGAAAAATCCTTAAAAAGTTGAAATTTATTTGGAAAATGAGATATTAAGAAACATTCGGTTATAAACGATTTAGATAATTTAGTGGTCATTAATTTTACTAAAAATAAGAGATGTTAAGTTTGAGTTGTATAACATATAAGTAAGTGAAGTTGGATAAAATATAATTGTTGCTTATTGTATAATCAAAATTAAAAAAAAAAAAAAATTCGACTGGAATCCGACTAGATTTGTTAGGCCTAAAAATGAATTTTCAAAGATATGACGATGCAATTAATGACTTAGCTGATGCTCATTTCCTCCTATCTAGTGGTTTAATTTGGTTTAATTGTTATTTTACTTTTTTATTTGTAAAATAATTGTACTCCTTTTTTATTATAGAGGAAGATCGGGTTGATATGAGTTCCAATAAACTTCAATAAATATGAATATGAAGAAGTATTATGAGGTTAATAGATTAGTTTATTAATGCTTTAGTTTATTAATATTTTATTTAGTGTAATTGTAATTTTAAATTTTATAAATTTTGTATTTATTAAAAACTAAAATTAAAAATTTATTTAAAATAAGTTTAATCGTTGACAATTAAAAATATTATTAAAATTATTTTATTCATATTTATATAGTGATCATAATAATACTTTATAGAAATACGCAAAAATAAATAAATTTTTAATTTAGAATGATAAAATTTATAAAAATAAAAATAAAAATTATAATTATATTAAATTAATATTAAAATTTTTAATTATGATATATATATATTTTTTAACTTATTAACGTCACATCCTCTAATATAAGATTGTAGCACTAGGCAAAAGTGAACCTAATAATTCCAACAATATCTTCCTCTTTTTTCTTTTTTTTTTTTCTTTAGAGCAATTTAAATTCTTACCGTGCAGTAGTTATCAGATTATTTTTCTATTTTTCTGTTCTCAATAGCCTCTATTTACGATTTTTAGAAAGGAGGTGAAGGAATATAATGGGGAAATGTTTTACCAACAACTTGTTGGTCCGAGTGAAAGGAGTCCAGTTTTCTTAAGTAAAATCTCGAGTTCGAGTATTGTGAATGGAAAAATAGGTGCTGGGAGAGCTTCCTCTATATGGGATCCGACCCGACTCGATTCCGGATTAGTTAGGACCCAATGTGGTTTGGATACTGGAAGGTTAGTAAAAAAAAAAAAAAAAGAAATTTTTTTTATTTAATAATTTTTATCTCATTTTTTATATAATTTAATGTTTCAATTTTTTATATAACTTAATATATCATTAAAATAATTAATTCTTTTAATTTATGTAGGACTTATAATATTAAATGTATTCATTCATTTAATAACATGTAAAAGTGATAAAAAAATGAGATAAAAAAATTATCTCTATAGTACTACCCAATTTGATAATAAAAAAATTTTATCTCATCATCTTTTTATTTATTTATTTAGATAAGTTAATAAATTAAAAATAAATAAAATACATTCTTTTAATTTTTTCGTTTTTTATTTTTTAATAATTAAATAAAAAAATTTTATCCTTTTATTCTTTTTCCTTTTTTTTTTTTCTCAATCTAAATAGTTTTTTTTTTTATAATAAATCTAAATATTATGTTAAAGTAGTATGTTTAGAGAATTGTGTGTGACCTGTGTCAGCACTTAGCAGCAATTTCGATGCCTAAATGTCGCCTTATCAGAGTCCGTACTCCGTAGTCTCTGACTCAGCTGTTGTATCACCGCTCCCAGTCTCCTGATGATACCCCACCAAGACTGCAACCATGGAAAGCGTGAATTGACCCACTCACAAGTCCACAACGACCCCAGTACCTCCACCACGAGACGAAGAATCCTCCTCCGTCCCCGGCGAGCAAAATGAAGGTGAAATCTTCTCCGGCGAAGCCATCTCCGCTGAAAATCCTTTCGCCATTCGGGGAAGAAGAGGAGTATGGAAGTAGAGCAGGATCCGATGACAGTCGCGGTTTGGAGTTGCAGATTGTGGATCCCACCTCCTCCTTCATTTCCAAATCCTTCCAATTGCCCGATGGCTGGCTGGTTGAGGAACGGCCCCGCAAAAACTGTCCCTCCAACCCCGGTCAAGTAGACAAGGTTTCGCCTTTTTTTTTTTCTTTTCCGTTCCTTCCCTGTATGTTTCTTCAGTAAATTCTTGGCTTGGGATTCCCTGGTCTTGTGATGAGCATTACACGCATGCAATTGGTAATGCTTTTCTTTGGATCTTCTCAGCTTAGTATTTTGATGACATGCATGGCATTTGGTATTTGTTTAAGATATTCAAAAGATTTGGACTAAGTTGACTTTTCTTTTCTTTTTTTTTCTTTTTTCTTTTCATGTAAATGTAAACTGAAGCTGAAAATGTTCAAGGTTATACAAGCAACCAACAACAATTTGAAATGAAATTCATCTGTGTAAATTGCAGAAGTAGCAATGAAATTGTATGAACTTTCATCTTATGTTGCAGTATTATGAGGAGCCTGAATCTGGAAGGCGGTTTCGTTCCCTCGTATCTGTTCAGAGGTACCTTGGTGGCCAGACAGAGAATCCAGTCAAACGAAGATCAGTGAATCGTGCAGCGAGATCTCATGATTATTCTGTTAAACCATTGAATCCTCGCGATTATGAGAACTCTGTGAGTTCATCTTTAACCATAATAACAAAACATTTGCTATACAGGTTTCTGTTTTGGTCAATGTCTTGCTATAAGGTTAATTGCTAGTGGCTTCTTGCTTCTTTTTTTTTTTCCTCGACTAAATCTGGCTCATTGGACTTTTATCCTGCATTGAAGAAAAATTATCATACAATATTTTCATTGTCAATCCATTGCAGATGCAGATTGTACCACGGTACACAAGCAGTGGATCATCATTCAATCTACCTGATGACTGGATTGTCGAGCAAGTACCCCGTATCAATGGTAGATATGCTGGTATTGTCGATAAGGTACTTGCCCTGGCTTGTTAGATTTTCATGCACCTCTGGATGTATGCCTTTTGCAGCCTTGCAATGTGGGTAATTAGTACTTAGTTACCTACTAATGATATAGGCCAAAGTGCTCACTCAATTTTCTTTACAAAGATTCCTTTGATATTCATTTCGGCTTTTCAAAGATTGCATATAAACGTTAATCATTCTTGGGAACATATTTTGGCAATGAATATGAATATGAATATGAATATCAACATATGAATTACTGATTCTAGTTTTCTGTTAGGAAAACACATATAAATGTCTTCTGGTTGCATCCCTGGTTTCGTTTTGACTTGAAAAGGATATCTGAAGTGAACTTACTCCCTCTAAAATGCTTTCATTCTTCCAATTGGAAATATGCCTGTTAACATGTCATTTACCTCTTTGTGGTGTATTTAGTTCTTGTGTAACCTCTGTAAGGCTAATAATGTAGACATGTTTTCCTGTTATATTGCTTTTTTGCACCTATGAAACTTGATTATTATGCAGTACTACATTGAGCCGGGAACTGGTGTTAAATTTCGTTCTCTGAGATCTGTTGAGAGATACCTCACAAGGGTGGGAGGAAGTGAAACAACGTCCAAGGTACTAAAACATTACATACTGTTTACTGTGAGTTTTGTAATTAACTACCAGTGATAATAAATTCCTTTCGTTGAGAATTTTAAATCTAGAGTTGCCATTGTCTTGGGCAGAATTCTGGATCTCAGAAAGAAAACAAGTCTGATGATGATCATTCTTGGGATATTGTTTTGAAATGCCTAGTAGATGGCAAGAGAACTAAAACTAAACGTGAGCCAAAGGTAATTGCAACTGGACAAACATTATGTATTGAGTTACAAAGGAAATAATATCAAAATTAAACATGTTTAGACCATGTGAAACCTCTTTTTTCCTCACTCACTTGATTTAGCATTTCATTCTGTTTTTCAGCCATCAAAAAGTTCTGGTTCTCAGAAACAAAAATATGCTAAAGGGGCAAAAAATCCAATGCTTGACTTTGCAAGCCCTCCTACAAAAGTAAAATGGGTTCTTGGTGGACCAGGTAGAAATCTGTGGAACCCATTTATGGGGGAATCTGAGGTTCCAGAAAATATACAGCAAACATGGTCTAAGACATTCATATTATCCATCGAGGAGAGGTTTTGATTGACTCTATAAGGTACTTATGTTACAATTCTTTTGAGGCTCATTTCATTGATATTATGCAGTTCCTTGGTGATTGTTTCTTCCTTTGGCCAATTTATACTATTTGTTTCAGCATAGCTTTTTAGATGCATATAGACAAGGCCGTGGGTTTTGGACTTGGTCTTGTTGGTTGCATTAATAGATGATTTTTCAAGCATCCAATATTCTCTGTAACTGAACAACTTCATATTCATGGCGCAGCCAAATTCTCTTCAATCTCTTACGAGTTATGATATTTTGCTTCTGCAGGAAGAGTTAGCGGTAAAAAAATTCACGGAAAAGTACTTCATGCCAAGTTGGTGTGAGTTTCATGAGGCTACTCTTAAGTTCTTAGTGTCTCAGAACTCTACATATGATTGCAAATAAGTTCTGCTGTAATTCTAAGTAATTATTGTATAAAAGCTAGTATTTCCTCTACCTGTGGTCACGATCCGTTGCCTCCAACATGCAATCAGCAGCTGTCTCAGCTGAGCAGCTGCAGTTTGCTTCCTGTACATTGCATGAACTATTCAAAAAGAAAATGAAAAGTCAAGAGGAGCCTAACACAAAAAAATGCAATGGTCATAGAAGTATTTACAATTTCAAGATATAACAAAAGAAAACCTAAATTAAAAGTCCTGCTTAAAACTCCTGTATGTAAGGAAACTACAACCAAGGCATTGGAAAATGTAGAGCAATCAGGGTGACAATTTTCCTGACAGGTGTAGGGATAGCTTATCTCTCAGGACTACACCCTTTACGTCCATGGACCAACAGATACGTTGCTTGTGATCCTCATCATGACCGTAAGACAAAGTAAATTCATCCTGGAACTCGTCTTCCAGATCAATAACAATGTTGTGAAGCAAGCAGCAAACAAGAATGATCCTTGGCAACTTATGTTTGTCAGGTCTGCACATTTCTCCATGGATGATCCTCCACATTTCCTTCAACCTTGCAAATGCCCTTCGTGCCACCAACCTAGTTGCAGAAAGCCGTTTGTTGAATTCAGCTTTTGATTCTGGTAGTTCCTTCCCCTCATAAGGCACAAGCAGATATGGCAACAAAGGATAGCCTGAATCCCCAATTATATACTCCTGTATTTCCAATCCTTCAGAGAACACTAAAGTTTTTCCATTCAACCTTTCTCCTTTATCACACAGTTTATAGAAATTTGAACTCTGGAAAACTAACCAATCTTCCATTTTACCTGGCCATCCAGTGATTATGTCTCGGAACCTCATCTTAGTGTCCACTATTGCCTGCAATACCATGCTGTAATTCTTCTGATGGTCAAGCCACACCTTACTTTCAGGATCTGATGAAGGCAAACACATAGTGATGTGAGTGGTATCAATGACTCCGCAGCAATTAGGAAGGCCTTGCATCTTCTCAAACGTGGACTTTATTTCTGTCATTTCTGTTTCATTTGAAGCCCATTGGAGGTGATGAAGCGCCCTGTCTTCCATGGCCTCCACAAAGCGCCATGTCATTTGGGAGACAGTACAGTGATGCAGCCCAAATAAATCACCAATTGTGAGCAGTGAATCCCCAGAGCCTAGCCTTCTTAAGGCCACAGCTACTTGTTCATGAAATGACACAGGTTTCCCATTCGTAAATGTAAAATTCCTTGATTTAGCCATCATATGATCCTTCACAAGTGAACATATATAGTTGAAGGTTCTTCTGGACATCTTAAAAATAGACTGGAAATTATCCAGACCCTTTTGTGGAGAATGACGACCTACAAAGAAAACAGGATAAATCTCTAAGGTGAATTCAAGAGGGGGAGCTTAAGCTTTATTTAAACAAAAGTTTATTCAGTAGAAAAAAGTAACAAACTTTTCTAACGTTGATGGAATGCATTTTCCAATGAGGAATTAAAAGAACATGGAAATTCATCATAAACAACAAATTCTAGGATCAACAAAAACCAGATTCGTGGTTGCAGTTGTAATTTTCACCACTGCCTCATGCAGAAGCAGCAGGACCAAGAACTGTCCACCTCAGGAGGAAAAGAGAAGAAATATTTAAACAAAGCCATATTACCATTAATCAACTCTGCTGGGTATCTAGAAAATTCTTCCGTAGATAAGTCATCTCTTCAAGGAGGAAGGAAGGGAACAGAAGAGGGAGTTAAATTTCCCTTGGTTCTAATTGTTCCTTTCCAAGGGACCTAAGGGAAGAGGGGTTCTCAAGGAGGAAGGATGTTCAAATGTAGTAGGTGAATTTGGTCAGGAACTACTTCATGGAGTTTGGACCTACATAGCTGCTGCACTTAAAATCACTCTACTAACTATAAAATATAAACAAAGATGGGAATCATAAGCAATTTACAATTGAGCAGATAAATCCTAACAGTATCAGTTGACAGTAAGGAAATTACAGAAGGTAGTCATGAAAACAGGTATTTTTAACAGCAGGAACTCATTAAAAGGTAAAGGAAAATGCAATCAACTATTTTAAGAAACAAAATTACTCATATAAAAGAAAAAAAAAGAAACAATATTACTAGTAAAACAGAATGAACCACTATAACCTATTTGACAAGCTCACACCTACATGTGATACTCTCCAACAAGCCTGCATCTTAGCCCTTTGTAGAATCATTTCTTCTTCAAGATTAAATTATACACAATTCTGATCATATTGCAATTAATTTAAATTCCAACACATATATGTCTAGATTGATATATATATATTTGGAAGCATCTTCTTGGGGAAGCAAGTTTCTGCATTCATTTCCCTCTACATTGCTGAATATTTTTGGTTTTAAACACTACGAATATCTGAGTGGTCACTAAGTCCTAAGTGTTTTCAAACATATTAGAGAAAATCAAACAACATATGTAGTCGACTATCAAAGCAGAGAGATGATGACACAAATAATGCATTCACTTTATAATTTTGTTTACCATATTCAATCATTTGCATAGCCAAAAATATATCTTCTCTGAGGCTACATCGAAGACAACATCACAAGGGATGGAACAGATATGATTCTGGAGTTACCAGAGTAAAAGGGACAGAGAGCTGACTGTGTTACCAAGTTATACATAAAAATAGATCAGAGAGATGGGTGCAGGTAAGGAGAAGGATGAAAAATAAATACAGTTCCTACCTAACATAATATCCTAATGAAACTAGACTATGACCATCATGATTGCCTTAGAGAAAACCAGTTCTGTGAAAGATCCATATCACAAGAGTACTTTAAATAAACCTATACTAGAAAGCTGTCAAACAAAAGCACCAAAGAATTCAAATGCTAAGTAGGAAATTTAAAGCTCCTAAACACATATTAAGAGGAAAAAAAAAAATACTTTCCTTACAATCTTGTTTCCCTCTCATAATTTTTAGGTATTAAATTCCCAAGGTGTTTTTTAGCATCACTCTCACTAGTAATGTATAGCTGAACTCATCTATTTGTCTTTCTAAAGGGATAGAAAACATCAACTTGAAAATGTTAGCTATTTTTTTCTAATTTTTCAATCCTAAATTCCAGGTACCGATTTGATAATTTACTCCCTAATTGTAAACATTCACCTAAATATTTGACCATGAAGTTGGACATTCACTGAAAGGGTATCAATCTTTTAAACTGCATTTGCTTCTTTAAAACAAATTCAGCACTCTGGGCTATCTCTCATCCTTTTTCAACGAGATAACAAAAACCAAATTGTTAGCTGTAAAGAACTCCTCAAAAGTCAGATTAGGGATATTCCACTATATGTTCCCAAATGCATTGGCTAGGTTTCAATACATAACTTCTTTAAGATTTCTGGCATAACGCCGGCCAAATTTGCCTAAATTAAATTCAACCCGACGGCCAAAAAAACAAAAAAAATTCAACCCATTGACTGATAAACTATCAACAACTGATAAGAAATTTATATACCAACCATGCCATGAATGATCAGTAAAAGCAACATCAACATATCAAAAGGAAAGCAAAAGGACAACAGGAGATATAGTAAAGCAAGAAAATCCATAAAGAAAATGTACCAGTAATCCTCTTGGAGAACTCATCCCACCAATCAACAGACGCTTCCTTCTCAGAGGAACCGGAACCAGAACCAGAACCAGAACCATTTTCTGCACGGTTCTTCTCTACCTTCCTTCTCTTTTTCAACCCCCTAGCAGGACCCATCAACCCAAAATACTCCCAATTGAATCAGAACTCGGAAACCCAGTAGCTTCAACAAGCAGGAATCATAGCCGCCATATCCTAAATCACCCAAAAACCAATACCCATTACTTATATCACAAAAACATTCGACATAAACACAAAACAGTACCCAAGAGATCATGATATACAGATGAAAAGAGTATCAAGCAGTAACATGCAAAGGAGTATACATGGTGTAGTGTGTTAATGGCGTGTGAATGTTTTGGCGTATGTGTGGTTTGGTTTCCAAAGCATGCATACAAGAAAGAACTTGATGAAATTTAAGAGCAACAGAAGGTGCTCTGGTATTTGTAAAACACAATGTGGCCTGAGGAGGAAGAATAATCAAAACTGGTATTAGGAAGACTTTTTCTGTCCCTCTCTCTTCTTTTCTTTTCCCCTATTACATGCTGAGATATCATATATAGAGAGCACTTAGTAATATGCTTTTGGAGGAATTTCCCTCAAAGTTCCACGAAACATGAAAGAATTTTAACAATCCTAGGTGTAAATTATATGGGATTATTTATCAATA